AGGGCACCTGTGGAACAGCTGTGTGCTAGAGCAGTGGCCCCCCAACCTTGGGCCTCCAGATGTGCTTGGACTTCAGCTCCCAGAAATCCTGGCCAGAAGAGGCAGTGCTGGAGGCTTCTGGGAGATGTAGTCCAAGAACATCCGGAGGCCCAAGGTTGGGGATCACTGCATTAGGCTTTAATCTAGAGGACCAAACTGGCACAAACTGATGAACTGCGGTTCAAGCCCATCTCTATTCATGACCAAAGACAAACCAAGGTTTCAGCTCTGGACTGGCCAGCTGTATACAGATTGAAGAGCGAGGCAGGGTGAGGCACTGTCTTGTCCTTTGCCTTGGGCTGCAGAATGCCTTGAGCTGACTGACCCTGCTGAAGATTGCTATAAGAGAGGAGTGTTTGCTTCCCCCCCCTTTTTTTTTCCTGGAGAAGGCCCTAGCAGCCAAAGTCAGTGGTGAACTTCCCATAATGCACCTGGCCTTCTTTTTAATCAATGCTTTTCTGTCCCATGCTTCCCACTTCAAGGCACTGCGGCGGCAGCTGCTTCTAGTGTTTCATCTTTCAGGCCCCTTTGTGTTCCTCTCCTAGGGCAACGGCACAGAACTTGGGTCCAGCTTCAAAGCATCAGCCACATGGGTTTGGATAGGCAGGGGGTGGCTTTAAATAAAACTAGTTATCTGTACTAACCCTTGGCTCATTGTATGCATGGCTGAGATTGACAGCATGGGTAAGGATTGCTAATGCCCCTCATAATGCCCCTCATTGTATAGGATACAGTGGCGTTCCTGCTCTGAGCGGATAGCGCCAGGATGAAGTAGCTAGTGACGGCCCATTGGTTTTGCAGCATTTTATAAAAGGAACTTATCCGAAGCAAGGTTTTTAAAAAAGCCATTTTGTTCTCCTTTTACCTCGTTTCTTAAGAAGCACTGAATAGGTATGCAAAAATGGAGACCACCACCATGCCATGTTCAAATTCAGAGACTGAACTCCATTCTTTAGCACAGGAGTAGAGATGTTTTGGCCCTCCAGATGTTTGGGGGCATTATTTTCATAACCCCTCATCACTCATGCTGGCTGAGTTTCTGGAACTTGCAAAAACATCTGGAGGGTCAGAGGCTCTGTTTTGGAATGCTAGGATCTGGGGCAGTAAGTCAGCACGGAGCAGAAATAGGCCTTGTCTCTCTGTTTTTTATGCCATCAAGTCAGCTTTGCCAGTTCCACTCCCCTAATGAGTTTCCATGGCTGAGTGGAACTGGCAAAACTGAGTCCTAGTCCTTCACTTGGTTCACTATACCAGGGTTCCCCAACCCCCGGTCTGCGACCCGGCAGTGGTCTGCGGCCTAGGCAGGACTGGGCCATGAGCACAGATCTCCTGCCCCTCTGTGAGCATTGCCATGCGCATGCGCACAAGCGTGCCAGCCCTCCCCCCAAACAGTCCGCAGGGCCACACAGGCTGGCTGTTCTTGCAGGAGGCACAGTGAGGAATCGAACTCCCAGCCTCCGGCTCTGCAGCCAGAGACCTAAACCACTGAGAACATAAGAACGTAAGAAGAGCCCTACAGGATCAGGCCAAGGGCCCATCTAGTCCAGCTTCCTGTATCTGACAGTGGCCCCACCAGATGCTTCTGGGAGTACACCAGACCACTAGAGACCTGTCTCCTGATACCCCTTCCCTGCATCTGGCATTTGGAGGTACAGTACCTTCCTTTGAAGCCTGGGGATTATACACCCCCATCATGGCTTGTAACCTGTGATGGACTTTTCCGCCAGGAATCCGTCCAATCGCCTTTTAAAGGCATCTAGGCCAGATGCCATCAACACATCCCATGGCCAGGAGTTCCGCAGACTAACACCACTCTGAGTAAAGAAATATTTATTTTTGTCTCTTCTCTCTCTCCCAACACCCCATTGGAGTAGATGTCCCCTGGTTCTGGCATTGTGTGAGAGGGAAAAGAGCTTCCCTCTATCCACTTTATCCACCCCCTGCCTAATTTTATACATCTCAATCATGTCCCCCCTCAGGCACCTTTTCTCTAGACTAAAGAGCCCCAAACACTGTTGCCTTTCTCCAAAAGGGAGGGGCCCCAGCCCAGTCATCATTTTAGTCACTCTCTTCTGCACCTTTTCCAGTTCCACGATGTACTTTTGGAGGTGCAACAACCAGAACTGTACGCAATACTCCAGGTGCGGCCTTACTAGCGTTTTGTACAATGACATTAGAATGTTGGCTGTTTTATTTTCAATCCAGCCAACTTGTCTTGGTACCTAAATATTAATTTATCTACCTTCCCTCTGCTACTGCAAGGTGAAATGAGAATGCAGCTAGATACAGCAAGCAAAGCAGACAGAAGAAGCCGGGGCCACAGAGAAGGAAGGCAGGCTGTGGCACTGCTGAGCATTGTCACACTTGGTTGGAGCACTGAAACCTCCTGAAACCTTTGCTCTGGGTCTAGACCTGGTAACCTTAGTACAATCGGCGATCCCCTTTCTGTCGGAGATGAGAGCCATGCAGCAGGAGGCTGGCAGCACTAGCAGCTGATGAAATAAGGATTTGAAGACAAACGTTCTTCCCTAATCACATGCCCTTGGGAAGGCCTTTTGAAAAATCTCCAGCCTGCTCTGATGCAGCCGTCTGCCCTGCACGATGAGACCTACCAGTAGATAACTAAACAGATAGGTGCAAAGCTCTTGCTCATTACAGACACATCCCAATGCAGTTGGGGAGCCTCACTGGCCCTTATTTAAATTTGTTGACCCTCAAGCTTCTGATATGAAAATCCACAGCTTTGACAGCCCTGTCTCTCTTTTTTTGCCGTACTTCATGTCAAGCCGCTTCATCCTTCCTTCCTTCACTGTCCTCTGTCCACAGCTACCCTTTCTCAGTTCCTACTTTCTCTTGTCTGCTGGGCTCCCCTACCCCACCCGCAAGCAACCACCAGTGCCAAGCTGTACTAGTTAGTTACTCAGCTAATGGTTTAATTACAGACTGTCTCCACAGGACCCTTCCATTAACCCAGCAAGGGGGAAGGGGAAAAAATTGCACAAAGAGCTGCAATGACATGCTTGCTTCCTAGTCCCCTCTCCAGCTTCCCTTTAAAGCCCTGAGTGCCACTAATGTACACTCCCCACGAAGGACTCTGAGTCTTGCCCTTTGCAGCTGAAGGCAGAGGCCTCTTGGCTGATTAGCTGCAACAAGCTAAGAGGGTCTGAGGAGCCCAGGAGGAGGGCTGATGTCCTGCCAGAGGCAGGGCCACGGTAGATGGCCACACGCAACGGAGCAGCGCCTCTCGCCGAGCATGCTGGCTCCTTCTTTCCCTCTCCTTTGGAAAGGAGAAGAGACAAAACTGATGGAATGCAGAGATTCTCATGACAGAAGCATCGTGGGAGTAAAGCTAATGGGGCAGCAAAGAGATGGGATATTTGGATGAAGACGCCGGCGCTGACACTGCCGTGCATGCCAACTAGCCAGGGCATTAGTCGTTGTCAGTTTGCATCTGTCCTCCCCACTTATGTGGCTGCTATCCTGGCCATTTTGTCAGTCCTCACTCAGTCTCTCCTACTCGTTCCTGTGGGGACTATGTATGCGAGGTGTCCTGTTCCTTCCAGAAAATGAGCAGGGCAACTACCAGAGCAGTGCTGAGCCTCACACCCCATGATTTAGAGGGAGCGGTGGGGACTGGGAAATGTCAGGGGAGTGAAAGTAAACTGAAGGCCACTAACTGACCAAAGTCCTCATTTTACCAACCATCTCTCATTGTAACGGAGGAGCATACCATGAGGTTGTGAGACCACCGCAGTACCTTAAATTTCTTCTAGGAGTAACAAAATGGGTATGGGGGGAATACAGCTGTTACAACCAGTTGCACTGCCCAAAGTGATGCTTATAACCACAGGGTGTCCTTAAGCAGTTACACCAGTTGTCCTAGCAGAGAAGGGATGAACCTGGGCCTTTGGGGAAAGGAGACCCAACCTGACTGGACTGTTGTGTGTCTCTGGTATTCCAGTGAACAGAAATCTCCCCAGATAGCCTAAGCTTTCCACAGTTGTCACCTACAATATTGCAATAACTGCAGAGGAAAGAATTCTGGAGTGAAATACTTCCCTGCCACTATCCTACAACCCCGAATACAGTACCTAGCTGTGAAGAGAGATGCTACGTAGCTTTGTTCCTCTTTCCTCCTTACTTGCAGAGATGGTGGCGCAATTCAAGAGTGTATCCACGATATAACCTTCCTCCCCTAACATCCTCCCCGTAATACAGATGAGCAGAAACCTCTCACACCAATATGTCTGGAACCCTCCCTAATATCTGAGTTTAGTCTTGAGTTGGTTTTCTCCTTCTCTTTACTCCTCCCTCCCAGCAATTTAGTCTTGCAGAATGTTGCACAATTCTGGAGGATTGCAAATAATTTTCTCAGCACATTTCCCAGACCCTTTCCTCGGCTGCTGTTTCTAAAGTGGGTCACGGGTGGTGCGGGGAGCCAGGAGCTTTATGAAAAACATGTCTGGGTTTTTAAAGACACATCTGCTTGAATCTGCAGAGCTTAGTCTGAGTATACAGCTCAGTCCTCCAGACGGGAGCTAAATCTCCTTTTTTTCTTCTTCTTCTTGGGTGGTGTCAGGACAAGCGCATCTTCATATTTGAGACGGAACCAGACATGCCACAGTGTGGGTGGAAGGAATCCCAAACCCCTGTTGTTCTCTTTCGAATATTAAAATGGAAGATAGAGGCTTAAAAATAAGAGATATATATATTGCATATCTCACAGCACAGGACTAGAACTTAAGAGACAAACAGAACAGAAAAGAAAAGCTTGGTTTGCACCAAGCCCTTTTTCTCATGGCCTTGTAGACAGTAGAGTGGGAAAAACAACTCCAGAGCCCTGATTTTCATGCTTTGGTCTAATGCTATGTGTTATGCATACCTAAAGATGGGAGGAAATTGCAGCAGTCAATCAGGAGATGAACTGGTAGCCTCACTCTCTCTTTCATCTCCTATTCCAGCAGGTCTGAGCCGGGCTGGCTTACCTTTCGGTCTGGTTCGACGGGAATTGGCATGCGAGGGCTATCCTATTGAGCTGCGCTGCCCAGGCAGTGATGTCATCATGGTGGAAAATGCCAATTATGGGCGCACGGACGACAAGATCTGTGACGCCGATCCCTTCCAGATGGAGAACGTCCAGTGCTACCTTCCAGATGCTTTCAAAATCATGTCCCAAAGGTAAGAGACTCTGTAAAATTCGGGCTAGGATGGGGTGAGTCAAGGAGGCTTTCCCCTTCACTGACCTTCTCTTTCAGATTGCTCCAGGGATTTCAAAATACCTCCTTTTTGTAACGAGAGGTGTGCCACTAAGTTCCAATACATTTTGAAATCATTATGTGGTCCTTTGGGAAAATAAGAGACCGGGCCATTTACGAATGAGGCTGCATTCCACAGGGAAGCAGTTGTTTCAAACTGAGAACGAGTCTGGTATCGTTCAAGGGAAGGGGAACAGAGGTGGTCCTCAGAGAGGTGGTTGGACTTCAGTTATTTATTTTATTTATTCATTATTCATTTGATTTTTACCCCGCCCCTCTAGTCCGTGTCTACTCAGGGCGGCTTACAAAATAAAACAGAACAGTATAAAAATATATAAAATCATAAAATTACAATTACAATTTCAATTTAAAACAATTAATTTAAAGAGAGGATTACCAAGATGGAATAGCAAAGACAAGAAAAAAGGAGAAAGACTTAATTGACTGGAGGGAAGGCCTGCTTCAATAACCAAGTTTTTAACTAGCTTTTAAAAACACCCAGCAAGGGTGCCAGCCGAATTTCTGTTGGGAGGGCGTTCCACAGCCGAGGCGCCACCACTGAGAAGGCCCGGTTTCTTGTTTTTTCCTTCTGGGCCTCTCTCGGCGTCAGACCCCTCAGCTGCCCCTGCTGGCTATGTCAGGTGATTCAGGTAGATCTGGGTGGGAGAAGACGGTCTGCCAAATATTGAGGTCCCAAACCGTTTAGGGCTTTATAAGTGATCATTAGCACTTTGAAGTCAACACGGAAATGGATGGGCAACGAGTGCAAAGCAGCCAGAGTGGGGGAGATATGCTGGTGTTTTCTCACCCCACTAAGGAGCCTGGCTGCCGCATTCTGGACCATCTGAAGTTTCTGCGTCAGCCTCAAAGGCAGCCCCACATAGAGTGCATTACAATGGTCTAATCTTGAGATTACGAGCGCATGGACTAGAGTAGTGAGGGCCCCCGATCAAGATATGGTCACAGCTGGGCAATCCGCTATAGATGAAAATAGGTGGAGCGGACCACGGACGCCACCTGGGTTTCCATGGTAAGCGCCGGGTCCAGATGTATTCCCAAGCTGCGGACCTCACTCTTTGCGGCAAGGGTCGTCCCTCCAAAGGAGAGGGAGCCACCTATGCTGCTGACAGAAGGGCCACCCACCCTCAAGACCTCTGTCTTGTCCGAGTTCAGCCTCAATCCATTTGACTGCATCCATTCCAGTACAGTCTCCAGGCAGCGCTGGAGGGACCGGACGGCATCCACTGAAGTTGGTGTAAAGGAGATATAGAGCTGTGTGTCATCAGCGTACTGATGACATGATGCCCCACACCCCCTGATGACCCCGCCCAGCGTCCTCATATAGATATTAAACAGCATTGGGGAGATGATCGACCCCTGTGGAACCCCACAATTGAGATTCCATGGGGCTGAGACCCTCTCCCAAGCTGTACTCTCTGGGGGCAGTCCTCCAGGAAGGAGCGGAGCCAGGCAAGTGCCAGGCCACTGACTCCCAACTCGGAGAGCCTCCCCAGGAGGATACCGTGGTCGACGGTATCAAAGGCAGCTGAGATGTCGAGGAGGACCAACAAGGACATGTTGCCCCCATCGGCCTCCCTCAACAGGTCATCCAACAGTGCGACCAGTGCTGTCTCTATACCATAGCGCGGCCTGAAGCCCGACTGAAATGGGTCCAGAGCATTGGTTTCGTCCAAGAGCGCCTGAAGCTGATCTGCCACCACCCTCTCAACCACTTTGCTGAGGAAGGAAACATTGGCAACGGGCCTATAATTGCCAATTTCGTCCGCCGCCAAATTTGGTTTCTTCCTAATGGGCCTAATAAGTGTCCCCTTGAGGGCAAGGGGGGACCTTGCCCTCCTGGAGAGACCCATTAATTAGTGCAGTGGCCCATTCAGTTGTTGCCGGCCCGGCTGCATTGATTAGCAAGGCCGGGCAAGGGTCGAGAGAAGAGGTGGTGGCCCGACAGCGATCAAGCGCCTTGCCTACCAAATCTGGTGTTACAGGCTGAAAGGAGTCGAGAATAACCGAGCAGGATGGAGCGCTGGACATCTCTGCTCAATCCATTGTGTTTAAAAAAGGAGAAAGGTCACGGCGGATGGCCTCCACTTTAGATTTTAAAAACGCTGCAAATTGGTCAGGTGAGATGCTAGTGGGAGGCCCTTCACCCCGACCAATTCTGGATAGATCGCGAACTATACGGAAAAGTTCCGCCTGCTGGTTGGAAGCTTCGCTTATCCGGTCAGCGACATAAGATCTTCTAGCAGCCTTTACCTTGGCTAGGTAACGGTTAGTTGCGATCCTGACAGCTATCTTATTATAGTCCGTCGGTTTCTTCTCCAAGCGTACTCTAGCCGTCTCCTTATTCGCTTCATCGCTCGTAGATCCTGACTGTACCAGGCTCCTGGCTGAGCTCTGCTCCTGAGAGGGCGTTTGGGTGCGATCGTGTCAACAGCCCTAGTAGCGGCGGAGACCAGAGCTTCGTCAGGAGCGCCAGACAGTTCTGCTGGTATCCCTCTCATGGTATCCTGAAAACCAATTGGATCCAGTAACCATGTGCGTGGGGCCGTTGACATGTTGGGATAAGTTCAAGGAAGCCATAGTTTCCAAGAACTCAAGAGCTGGCCCGGATACCTCCGCCTCCGCATGGATGTTGAAGTCACCCAGGACCAGAAGTCTCGGGGACTCCAACAGTGCCGCGGAGACGAAGTCCGCCAGCTCCGGAAGGGAGGTGGCTGGGTCACGGGGAGCGCGGTAACCCAGCAAGATCCCAATACCATCCCTAGCCCCAATCCGCACATGAAGGGCCTCCAGACCTGGCTTCACGACCGAGGAGCACCTAGTAACCTCTAATGATTTTCTATAAACAATGGCAACTCCTCCCCCCCCCGCCCCTCCAGTCTGCCCTGGGCAGCAGACAGCGATTATGAGGGTTGCCAGCCAATGCTATCTGGAGGGCCACCCTTTTCTTATTCCTTGTGCAGTGACTGGAACTAGAGAGATCAATTCAAATTTGCCATGAAATTTACTACACTATTGTGGGCTGATAACTTCCTCTCAACTTATCCTATCTTGTACGTTCATTGTGTGGATAAACCAGGGAGAAACTCTTTTTTTCAGCTCTGTGAAGAAAGCATGAGGTATAAATGCTGCTCCTGCTCATAACGGTGATCGTGATGATGGGGGTGGTAGTGGTAACCACCACCTGCATTTCACCCAGATTTTCTAAGGGTTTTCTCCTATGAAGAAGTCTCTCTACATACTCATGAGTAGTTAAAGCAAAGCAAAGCAGGCTGCTTATATAGTGCCCCATAGTGTTTAAAGCACTCTCTGGGCAGTCTACAATGTAATTATGAAGGTTACACATTACCATCTGCTCACTGGAAGGACAGATCCTGAAGCTGAGGCTCCAGTACTTTGGCATCTCATGAGAAGAGAAGACTCCCTGGAAAAGACCCTGATGTTGGGAAAGTGTGAAGAGGAGAAGGGGACGACAGAGGATGAAATGGTTGGACAGTGTCACTGAAGCTACCAACATGAATTTGACCCAACTCCGGGATGGTAGTGGAAGACAGGAGGGCCTGGCGTGCTCTGGTCCATGGAGTCACGAAGAGTCGGACATGACTTAACGACTAAACAACAACCACCTCTCCAGCAAACAGGACACTGACCTTGGAAGGATGGAATGTTGAGTCAACCTCAAGCCCAGGATCGCACTGAGGTCGTGAGCAGAGCCTTCACTGCAGTACAGCAGTTTAACCACAGTGCCAAAAGGTTACATACTCAAAGCAAAGGGAAGCCGAGGTTTTCTTGTGTTTGCATAAGGTCTGTGTAATTAGCTATGTTTAACCAGTGACCAAGCACACAGGTGTGACACACCCCAGCACCTTGTCAATTAGCCACAAGAATGGCTAATTAGCCATGCAAAGAAAAAAGTAATAATAAAGAGTAATAATAAATAATAAATCTCATGAAATGTGTTTATATCCTCCCAGCTTATCTGAGGAATTCTGAAGATTTGCTGAACTGCAGAACTAGACAGCAATTTTCACTTTATAGTCAAGTAGTAAAGCTTTGGATTAAATGGGCAGAAAGAGTGGGTTAGCCGAATTAACAAGAAATAAAACATTTGATTTAACATGCTGTGTTAAGACCTTTCTGCATTCATTTATGTTCCAGAAGGCCAGGAAATTGCAGCTGTTAAGAGCCATGCCTGTAACAGATGTGTGGTTTAGGCATGGCAGTCAGCAGTAGAGCGGAGGATCTAAGTCTCAGATTCATCTTTTTACTGGAACAAGCCCTTGGAGTCTGTGCAGCTCAGGCTACCGAGCAACTTCCTTTTCAGAGGGAAGAAAGGCATTCTTCCTTCATGTTTCTGGATGGGGCACTGGATGTCAAGGAATCCGATATAACATCGGAGGTGCTGGAGCTGAAAGCTTTCCAGGGTCTTCTGACTGGATGCAACAGAAGGAACTTCACTCAGCCTCTGGAACGTTCTCTTCCATGGGAAATTTTGAAAGAAAAGGCTTAGCTGAAATAATTTAACAAGACAGGGAGGTGAGTTGAGGTTTGAAGTAGTGGACAATCTCAGTGGATGTTTGAAACATTGGAAGGGAAGAGGGGAAGCTAAAGTGGCTTCCCTAAAGACTGACTTCATGGCATTGATGTTATTTGCACCATGCTCTAAATGAGGGGTTCTCAGACTTTCAGCTCTCATGGTCTCCCCAAGAGACATGAAAATGCCTGAAATATTGACATGGTCATGTAGAGACAGAACCAGGAACAAAATGTCAGCAAATAGAAGTGGAGTTTTGCCCCATGCCAAAATTACTGGTTAAATTTTAATTTTATATTGGTAATCTAGATCCATTCTGGAAATGGCAAGATTCTTTGCTGCGGTGATTTTCTTGTAGCAGAGAGTTCCAT